TGTGTACAGTGTAAGGACTGAGGTTTTTTTTTGGCAGTACAGGAGCCCTCTACTCCTGAGATAGTGTCTTGCTAATTTTTTTTTTTCTTTTGGTTTTTCTCCGGTACCGGGAACCAAACTCACGACCTTGCGCTTGCCAGGCAGGCGCTTTGCCGCTGAGCTAAATCCCCAGCCCTGTCTTGCTAATTTTTGAGATGGTGTCTTGCTAATTTGTGCAGGCTCACCTTGAACTTGTAATCTTCCTACTGCAGCCTCCCAATTAGTTGAGGTAACAGGTATATGCTACCATCCACAAAACATTACTGCCACTACATGTGGCTGAGATTCTTTTTGTCCCCTATACATTTAGTTAGTGGTCCCAGGCCTGTCTGATAACAAGAATTATTTTTCCCAAATTGTCTTGGACCTTTGAGAAGATCAGTAGATTGCATTTATGTGTGGGTTTATTTCTGTATTCTCCACTATGCTCCACAGTTCTGTTTTCTCTCCTTGTATGATCACCTGTCAGTACAGTGCCGGAGCTGGCCCAAGCTAGCTCCTGAGAACTGCTTGAATTCTATGCAACAAAAAAGCTTTTCACCTAAGATGGTTGTTAAATATTTAGTGAAACATTACTGCCTGTCATGATTATTGTAGTAATCTGTAATGCTCAAAGTCTTGAAAAGAAATACTATCAATTTTTCAACTTTTTTTAAAGCCATTTTTATTTTCTATTCTATTCTTGTTCTTACTTAGCTGTTTTCGTTTTCTATGATTTTCTATTTGTTGTGAATTTCACATAAAAATCCTGATGGGATTTTGATGGAAATCATGTTGAATCTACAGACCAGTTTGAGGAAACACTTATACCTTCCAACCCATATATACAGCATATCTTTTTCACTTACTAAATTCTTTAATTTTATTCTGCAGTGATTTCATTATGGTTTCACTGTGGTGATCTTATACATCTTTTGTTAAATTTATTCTTATACACTCATGGTTTTGATGCTACTGAGAGTATTTGTCCCAGTTATCTTTGCTACATCAAATAGCTAGGAGTTATTTGAGTGGCAGGGCTGGAATTATTTTGAGGGTTCTTCAGGCACAAATTTTGTGTCAGGGTTAGACTTCTTCACACCATGGTGACTGCAAGTTAGCCAGACTCTTTACATGACAATACGTGCCTCTGAAAGAAATGTTTCGGTGAAAAAGATGGGAGCTGTGCTTATAATCTAGCCCCAGACGTCACACAGCATCACTTCGCAGTGTTCTGGTGGCTGAAGCAGTCAGAAGCCTGCTGACCGGGGAGAACACTCTTACTGAGATGAATGTCAAAGAATTTGTGGGCATGTTTTAAAACTGCACAGTACTACCTATATTTCATTTTCAATTGCTCCTAGATATTTATATATTGACCTTATAGTTTTGCATTCATAAGTTCTAGTAGGATTTTTTTGTAGATTCTGAAGTTTTCTAGGCAAACAATAAAGACAGTTTTATTTCTTCTTTTCCAATCCTTATAACTGCTGGCTTATTTTCTTATCATACTACTTGGGACTACCAGTGGAATGCTGAATGTAAGTAGTGAGACTGAGAAACACTGTCCTTGATCTTAGGAAAGTATTCAATATTTCAACCATTTGGTATACGTTTTTTGAGTTCCCCTAAATCAAACGAAGCTTCCTTCTATTCCTAGTTTGCACAATTATTATCCTTTGATGTAGTATTTTATCAAATGCTTTTCTGCATTTATTAAGATGATTATAGGGATAATCACTTTGTTCTGTTAATATGACAGATTATACGGATTAACTTTCAAATGTTAAGCTAACACTGTATCTTGATCAAGCAGGGCTATTAATCTGCTATCAGGATTTTTTTTTGTTGTTTGTTTTTCCAGTACTGGAGATTGAAGCCAGAGCGTGGGCACTGTCTTCACTCCCCAGCCCTTTTAAAATTTGGAGACAGGGTCTTTCTCAGGTACTAAGTTGTCCAGGCTTGGCTGCACTTGTGATCTTCCTGCCCGGGTCTCCCAGTGTGCTGGGATTATGGGCCTGAGTCACAATGCGTGGCAGACTACTAAATCCTGAGTATTTTGTTTCTTAACTCCCACCACTTGGGCCCTGTCCTCCTCTCTGCTGCTCCTGCATTCATTCAGGCTTTTATTTCTCACACTGTACTATTACAACAGGTGACATCCTCCCCTTTCTCACCACCCTCTCTGAGGCTCTTTCTTCACTGCTTGTCCTTCTCCTATGCAATTGTAATTGTAACTTCCCCATATGTGAATTTTTCATGCCTAATCTCTTCTATGGCCCACCATATGAATCTGTAGTTGAAAAAAAAAAAGTTTCAAACTTTAATAGCATAAAGAATAACTTACTCAAGGGATAAGTACAGAAATAACCAATTTTTTTATATTGTAAGCAAACTGTAATATCTGGCTTAAAGAATATATTCAGTTAATATGTTTCAATGCTGGGCATGGTGGCACACACCTGTAATCTCAGCATCTGGGAGGCTGAGGCAGGAGGATCACCACGAATTCAAGGCCAGTCTGGGCCATATAGTGAGTTCAAGACCAGCCTACACTACACAGTGAAACCCTATCTCAAAAAAAAAAAGAAGAAAAACAAAAGAAACTGGGCATGGTGGTGCATGCCTGTAATCCCAGCACTTGGGAGGTTGAGGCAGCTGGACTGCTGTGAGTTCGAGGCTAGCCTGGGTTACAAAGTGAGTTCAAGGTCAGTGTGAATTGAACAGTGAGACTGTCTCAAAAAGATAAAAAAAATGTGTTTCAAAGAAATATAAATTCCTGTAACAGCATGGTGAGTATCAATTGAGATATTAAAAAAGGATCTTATGTCACTTTGGAAGGACAGCAGTTAGTTCCTGATTGGTGACATAAGGTGAATCAGCAAGTCATGAGTGAGGTAGCGTTTGAACTGGTCTTTGAACAATGGGTAGAATTCTGACAGGCAAAAATGTGAGGAGAAGGAATACTAAAAAAAAGAATCAATGAATAAATATAGGGCAGCAGGAAAATGTAGGGGACTGTTTAAGGATTGGTGATATTTTAGTTTGCATGTAAACAAGGGTGCATAAGGATAAAGGTGAATAGTAAGGCTAGAAAGGAGGCTGGATACAGGCCACCAAGCACCTTGAGTGCTAGACTAAGGAGCCAGAAGTTAATTCAGTACAGAAGAGGGAATCACTGGTTTCTGAACTACAAAGTTAAGTGATCAGAGCAATCATTTATGAAGCCTTATCTAGAAGTAGTACATCAAGTTTAGAAGACTGGAGCGACTAAGGCAGAGCTTCCCCACTAGGCAGTCCATGAATGGATTAGAAGCGTGCTTAAAAACTTTTTAGCAGGCACTGGGTAGTACACACCTGTAGTAAGTAGTTCCAGCTACTGAGGGGCTGAGTTGTAAGGATCACTGGAGCCCAGGAAGTGTAGGCCCACCTTGGCAAAACGGTGAGGCCCAGTCTAAAAAACTAACAAAACCCGCTGTGTCCCTCAGGTTATCTGGGGCCTCGCACAGCTGCAGCCCTAGGGGCCAGGCATATCAGCCATGAGTAGTCCTGACTTTTTATCCCACTTTGCTATACAGTTTGTTATAAAATTTAAAGGTGTCATGGGGTGAAAAAAGCAGTACATCCAAGAACCAGAGAAGACCGGGGATGAGCAGTAATACCGATACGATGTTACGGGAAGCTGAATAGTCCTTGGGGGTGATAATAGTAGGAACAAATTCGAAACAAGTGAATATAAGAAACATGACTAAGGTAGAATTAACAGAACTTACAGATTGATTTTTCAGGAAACATGCTTAAAGATATTATGCTTATATCTTGTATTCTGAATACTAGAGAAGACAACAACATGCAATGTATTATTGCTGCTGTGTTGGTTTTTTTTTTTTTCTTTTTGAGACAGGGTTGGATTATGCAAGCTGGCCTTAAACTCACAGAGATCCTCCCGCCTCAGCCTCCGAGTGCTGGGATTATAGGCGTGGCCTACCACGCCTGGCTCACACACAATGTATTATTGTAAGTCTCCTACCAACCTGTTTTGAAACTCAGTTTTAACAGAAGCAGAGACAGAGACAAGAAATTATCAGAGTTGAGAAGAAAGAGAAATTTGATGTCTAAATTATCAGCATTGAATCTGTAATAATTGAAGATGACTACCAGGATTACAGAAATTATAATGTACCTTTCCTTAAAGTACTTTTGAAACTCTTGAGAGAGGTATGTAAGTCTCTCAGGAAGAAATGGGATTATTGAGGAATCTCACGCTTACTGAAATCCTTTCTTTGGCTTCTAACACTGACAAAAATGTTGTTAAAGAGGACAGAGAATACAGACTTATGGAGACACACTGTCTTTAAGGAGATGGCTGTACTTAGGCTGCATCTGATAGAACTGCAGAGCAAAATGGGAGGAAAGGCACGAGCATGAGTGGTGGGTAGAGGCCACTTAGTTTTGTTTCACTTAAAAAAGTAGTAATATATAAAAAAAGAAATAACATGTAATTTATATACCATGATCTATCTTTTTACCTTATAAAATACCTTCTGAAGTGTACAATTAAATGATTTCTAGTATAAATACAGGGTTGTATAAACAAGGATGCTTTACCTGAAAAGAGAGGGTCATAAAAAATATTACATAAAGACCTGGGTTGTTTCTAACCACAGAAACTCTACCACACTGACAGGGAGCCACACTTTATTTATTTACAGTATTTGGGCTTCACACAAACAGTTGCAATCTCTAGTACCTTTAGTATGAGAAAAATGAATTACATTTAAAAATAAAAATGAGAATATTTATAAAGAAAGGAAGAAGTAGTAGTTCCTCTAAGAATTTGTTTCCACGTAAAATCTTTTATCTCTTAACTGTATCCTGTAGAATATCAGCTACAGAACACTGAATTTTGGCAGTGTGATACAAACGGTCATTTCTATAGCATGGCCCAGGTGACCCAGGGCTCCTCTGGTCTTCACATGTACCTTTATGCAGATTCTCTAGGGGCTCCAGGACTCCTCTCCGGAAGGAAGCCATGGGGTCTTGAACACAGGACCGAAGGCTCAGCATGCTTTGCAGGTGAGGCTCTCGAAGCAGCTGTTCCCGATATGCTGTCAGCTGAGGCGAGCGGCAGAGCAGAGCAGCAACATTGTGGACGAATTCTGGTACCAGGCAGGTGTAGGCGTTATCTGCTTGACAATAGTGATAGGCAACCACCTGCAAAAGCAAGATCAAAATGTAAACAAACTTATCAGTAGCAGAGCTGTAATTATTAAATGAACATTCTGTAACACTAGCTTTTGTCTCCATTTCTTGTACTTTTTTCAAATAAATATGAAAGCTGCTTATTCAACTGCCTAATTCAGGTCAGATCAGAAATGTGATTATTATATATACATGATATCATCAGATACGCATAATATCATTTCTGTTATTTGTACATGATATCATAAGCTAAAATTAAAACTTACTCCCTCTGGGTTATAATAGGAAGACTGAAAATCAAGACATACACTAAAATCACTAACATTCCACGTTATCACTAACATTTTATTCAGCACAGAGCAGTATAGGAAAGACCATGATCTTGTAACAAAGCATTAGGAATAAAATAACTAGAAAAATCATTTCAGTCTTCACAGACACATATGCTTGTATCACTTTTGATTACAATTGTGTTATAATTCAGATTTTAATATTATCACTAAATATTTTTTGAGCACCTAAACACACAGCATTGCAATCAAACAAAAGCAAGAAGGGAAGGGCTGAGGGTTTTTTTTTGTCTTTTTGAGACAGTCTTGCTATTTGGTTCAGACTGGCCTTGAATTTACTATGTAGGCCAGGCTGGCTTTGAATCTTCCTCCCTCAGCCTCCCAAATGCTGAGATTACGGGTGCGTGCCACCATGCCCAGCATGGAGTGAGATTTGTGTTAGGTGCAAGTCTTAAATTCAAAGAACTCAGAAAATCTGAGTCTAAACAACACCTAGGGGCTGTCCTGTCTGACCAGGAACTTGGAGCTTTGAATTTGCAGAGTTCACTCCTTTCTTTTTGTTGATCCCTTTGTCTCAAGAGCAAGTACAGGGCGTGATCTTAATCTAGCAGATCTGGCTCATGAGTACCTGGAAAAGACGACACTGGCAAGAAGAGTCAGCTTGATGTACGGAAAGAACCTGGCATTGAGGTTCCGTGCACAGTAAGTGCGCAGAGTGTCAGCTGATGTCACTATTTTTATTACCATCACTTCCACTCTCCTCCTCCTCACTCACTGTCACCCTTGCTAAAGTTCCATATACTCTTTTTAGCTATTACCTTTGAATTTATAGCCAACTGAAACTTTTTTTCCTGTTTTTTTTGGGTACCGGGAGTGGAACTCAGGACCTCACGCTTGCCAGCAGGCGCCTGAGCTAGATCCCCAGCCCTGGGCAACTGAAACTTGAGCCAGTGCCGTTCATGAATACACTACCTGGACTCTAGTTCTTCCGTCCCCTCTCAGACGGCCTCATCCACTGAAGGGTTCTGCTTTGAAAAGACTCCTAATCTCTGAATACAGTCATTCTAGTTCTTTAACATATGCTAGAAATGTCAATATTTTAAAAATACCGGAATCACAAACATAAAAAAACAAACAATTCAGGAAATGATACATAAAGTTGAAGGTAGGAACTGCTTGTAATAAAGCAATGAAGTCTGAGTATAATATGGATATCAGAAATAAAAAGTTGTATTTTTGTAAAAAAAATACCCAAAGACCCAAAAAACAAAAAACAAACCAACTCTCTTTTTTAAAAGACCAGTTACCTATCTGAAAAATGTAAGGAACCTAAAAAATTATCTTGTCAGCGACTGATCTGTCCTCTCAATAAACACTGAATGTCAGTGGTTATTGTCCACATGGATACACATCTTCACTTGGTAAAAAAGCAAAGACCAAACCTCTCAATCAATATTAAGTTCCATCGTAAGGTACTTCAACTGACCCCTTACGCCAGGGATAAGCACAGCTCAGCAAATCTGTCGTAATTTACCCTTTACCTAAAGTAAGGGGATATGGTTTTACAGGGAAAAATTCTGCAATACAGAAAAAGGATTCTTTTACTGATTTCATTAAAAATCATCCGTACTTGGCTGAATGAGGTTTCATTGAACAAAGTCAATGTTGATGATACAGCTTCTGGGATTGTCTCTCTTTTAATTTTAAATATTTCTTTGGCATTCCAAATATAAAATCTTGATTCCTTTATTAGACTTCAGGTAGAAAAACCATTCAACATCTTTGTGAGATCTGAAATGTGCTCAAAAATGGTTATCTACTAGACCTTTCAAAGTAGTCTGTAGTATATATGTATATACAACTTCTCAAAAACATTTGGCATTTCCCAAAAATTGTCTTTGATATTATCCAGAACATTCTATGTGTAAAAACAGGAAATAAGCCTGGGAATGTAGATTTTTTCTATCTATCTCTTACTGTACCAGTGCTCAGTAGCAGATTTATAAAGCACTCCCTGTGGTTTGGAGGAAGCTGTATCCACCCATACATAGTCACTACTATTACAATTTCTTAGAAATGGTTCAGTTAGTCTACCCCTGCCCCAGTGAAGCAACGTGTAAAACTGTTCTCCTTGGTGAATCTGTATTTCTCAAAATGACTGTCTAAATTTCATTTTTTGGTTCTCAACGTCCTTTAGCTTTTTACTATGAAAAATATATCCAAGCAGAGAGAATAGGACAATGTTCATGTTTGTGTCATTCAGCTGCAATGGTCAAAGCTCATAACCTCTTTTTCATATTTCTACTCTTCTTCCCCGCTGGATTACACTGAAGCAAGTCTCAAATATTATACAATTTCATCTACACATATCCAGCCCCCTCTTCTTTCTCTCTTTTATTTGTATGCTGCTGGAGCCCAGGGTTTTCTATATGCTAGGGTAGAGCTCTGCCACTGAGCTACATCTCCAGCCCTGATACTTATTTCTAAAAGATAAAGACTCTTTCTTTAAACATAACCAAAATATCATTTCACGCCTACTTTAGTAATAATTCCGTAATATCCTCCATTAGCCAATCAAGTGTTCATATTTAAATTTCATTTTTAGTTACTTGTATTAATTATATTAGTTGTCTACATCTCAAGTTTTCCTTATGTTAAATCTCTAAACTTTTTATTAAAACAATTCTATAAAACTGTATCTGACCCTGACTACAGCTGCATTAATTATCTGGAAGAAGATAGTTAAGTAAATTTTGCCTTCCTCTTGTGAGGGAAGAAACAAATGGCTGGTAGGCCTCATCGACAAAGGACTGGAGGTCAGTACAGCCTTGTGTGTAAGGTCTTTTTATGAATGCTGTATCTGAGATATGACAGAATTTGGTATAAAGCTCATCAAAGGAACCAAGTCACAGCAAACATGCCAAGCTTGTGCTGGAAGTTTAAGTGCTTCGTACACACAGATCATTTTCTATTTCAAGTACCTGTGACAGGATTAAGCCAATCTCACATTAAGGAAAGTCAGTTTTATAATCCCAGCTACTCAGGAAGCTGAGGCAGGTGGATTACACATTCAAGGGCAGTCTGGAAACTTAGAGCTTGTCTCAAAATAAAAACAAAAAGGCCTCGGAATATAGCTCAATGGTACAGTACCCTTGGGTTAAATCCCCAGTACACCCCCCTCCTGACAGTTGTGAATATCTAGAATTTGAACAGAGAAATCTAGTTTATGTAATGGCTAATTTTTTTAAAAATTTAATTTTTTTATTTTTGGTACCGGGAATCAAACTCAAGACCTTGCGCTTGCCAGCAGGTGCTTGTGCCACTGAGCTAAATCCTCGGCACAGCTGACATTTGTATCATTTATACTTCCGAGTTGCAACTGCCCTTCCCTCAGGTTTGTTCTCACGCTCTTACACAATCGACATCTCCTTTTCATCATTCTGTTTATGAGTGTCTTATCAGTTGCTACCCTCCGAATGATTTTCTAATCAGCACGACTCTTCAACTCACAATGTCTCATTTTTAGTATTTCTAGGGACTAGGAGGTTCACTGTGAATAACTACTTTGTCTTGTCCCTCAATTCTAATTCTTCAGTAAAGAATAGAATAGTGTCCAGGCTAAGATTCTACCACAATAATTCTCCAATTTGGAGCCCTGCCTTCGGGGCAGGGGAGTAGGAATTTTATTTATTTTTGAACTTATGTTGATCATTTTAGACTTACAGAAATGCTGCAGAAGTAGTACAGTTCCCATTTACCCCTCACTCAGCCTCTATTAGTATTGGCATTTTACATAACTGTAGCATAATTATTAAAATTAGTAAATTAATACAGACACAGTAATATTACCTAAAGATATTCAAATGTTACTTTTTCTCGCTATGTCCTTTCCTGTCCAGGGTTCTATCCAGGATCCCACATGTCACTTAGCTATTTCTCCTTAATTTCCCCTTGTCTGTAAGAGATTCTCTGTCATTGTTGTCCACAACCTCGACATTTTCAAAGGGTATGGCCAGTTCTCTCATCAGTGTCTTTCAATTTGTGTTTGGTATTTCCTGACAATCTGAAACTTTTTTTTTTGGTTGCTGAAGTATTGGGGATTCAGCCTAAGGTCTTTACAATGAGCTACATCCCCTATCACGGGGTTCTTGATGTTGGTGTATCTTTTTTTTTTTTTAACGTGAAGGAGGTTTATTCTGGCCCACTGCTGGCAGAGGCTTCCGTCCACAGCTGGTGGCTCCAGGGCAGAAGCGGCACGGCGGCAGGGTCTGGGTGCAGCGAAGCTGCTCACTCCCGGTGCGCAGGGAAGAGGTGCCCGCAAGCCTTGCTGTCAGTGAAGCTGCCCTTGTTCACTTGGTTGAAATTAAGGTTCTGACAAGTTTCCTCAGCGTAAAGCTGCTATCTGTCTTTCCCTTTCCCTTTGCAGTAAAGCATCTTAGGGGAGATATTTTTGAGAAAATGCAACTCCTGTTTCACCTCTAACTTTTGTCCATTAACTTCAGTATTCATCAGTGGATCTTGCTGAGAAGAATTACTACTGTGGTGTTCGCTCAATAGTGACTTTCTAATTTCCTCTTTCTTTCTACATTTGTTAATTAGAATCCTAGTGATGAAAAAACTGTCCCCTTCCCTTATTTATTTCGTAAGTATGGGCTTATTCCATTCTGTTGGTTGCAACCCAACGCTCTGTATTTATTTTGTTGCTCCATCTGTTCCTGTTTT